GGCAGGGGGTTTAATGGATCTGATAAACATCTCTGAACTGTGACTTCCAAGGAGGCAGTGTGACTTGCTGGTGACAGTGTGAGATCTCCAAACATTACCATGTGTAGATATCCAAGATCAGGACAAGAGACTTGCTTTGATTTGATTGTCTAGGTTTTGAAAACAGTATTTTCATGGGTGTGGTGAGGAACTATACCCTACATAGCCATCTAAGCTGGAATCAGATCCACAGAGCTGGACAGTTGAAACTTGCAACTCCAGCTCATCCTTGAGTTAAGAGAATGGAATTCTAAAATGTCTGCTTAGCATCTGCTTTAGAGCTTGTGACCTGTCCCCCGCCCCCAAATAAAGCCATCCCCCCAAAAGTGCATTGATGATGTAAAGAATAATGTCTTTGAAAATATTGTGAGAAAAATTCCCCAGGCACTAAATAAATTAAAACTTTTACTTTTAAGTCAGTAGAGTTATAACAAAAATGATCAACAATGAAAAAAATGTGAAAGTGGAGAAAGATGATTTGGCTCAACTCAACTGCTCCCCCTAGTGTCAATAACTGTTGTTACCGTCCTCTAACTTAAAAATAACTGGTAAAGAAATTGAAAGCTTTATCTTACTTTGCAAGATACTACTTCACAAAATTTTAGATCAACTTAGAATAAGTTAGAGTAGAAAACAGTGACTTTTGGTTTCTTGGAAAGGCATTGATTTAAATCTTAATGATACGCAATTAAATATGACAAGAAAAATACCATAGAGAACATAAAAGAGTGAAATTTGTTATTCTGCTATACATTATTTTAAATACATTTTGTTTATGTGCATGTGATACAGCTGTCTAGCAAGTCATCTTTAAAATCCGTATTGGAAGTGAATCTGTAAATTAGATAAAATATTTTAATAAAAGTTCAAGAACACAACACGAAGGCTTTGTAGCTCCATCGATACATTCAAATACACATAGGTACATGTTTTCTTCTCTATTTTTGAATCTTCATAAAGGTAGCTTCACTGCAATTTCTCTGGGTTTATTATGCAAAGTTTCAATTTCTTTTTTTATTCTTAGGAGAAACCCAGCTGGATGGACTTAACCAACAGGAAGGATTAGAAGGAGAGCTAGAGCATGTGGGAGGGGCGAGCAGGCCCGGCCTGCGTACACCTCTGCAGGCCCGTGGACCCACCGCTCTGCTCCGTCAGCTACAAGCTGTGTTTTCAGGTCTTGTCTTCTGTGACTTTGGTGCTTTATCCTTAGTTCTCTTTTTGCTACTTTCAAACCTCCAAAAATTGTCCAGCTATTAAAAAGTTCCAAAACAAGCAAATGTGTTCCTGGAATCCTACTCTTAACTTTGCTGGAGAACATATACGAAGGCTTCTTCTAAAGCCAAAATAATAAAAGATCTTTTAAGTGGTTGAAATTCTTGGTTGATTGCACATACATGCCAATGTCAAACAACTATAAATAGAGAGATTTGGAAGAAAAATAGGGAGAGTCTTTATAACTCCAATGAAATAAAATGGAATGTTTTGAAGGCAGTCAGAAAACAGTACACGCATTTATAAAATTAAGATTTGTGTCCCCTCAGGCCCGAATCCCCTCTGAGCAGGGAGAGCCCACCCAGAGCAGGCACTTCCAGTATAAGGGAATAAAACAACTTTCTTTTCTTTATTAATGTATGTTTATTATTCTCAATCCAATAATTAAGATTTCTTCTTTATGGTATCCTTTTGAGTTTAGAGAGCGGGTAAATCTTTTGATATTTTCCTCCCATCAGTGCTTTGTTTGCCCAGAATACCAAAAAATCCTTCAAAGGATAACATTATGCCCAGGGTTACTGGGATAAATGAAGTCAGCAGGGAGTTGCATGGGTGTTACTAGTGCAGATTTGGCCCCCAAATAATCTGGGTCACATGGTATAGCCATTCAAAGAGACTCGAGGATTCATTTCTCAAGAAATTCTTACTCTGTTAGACAGGTTAACATATCCACTAGCTTGAATAACTGAGTTAATATATATTTTAAAAGGTATTGTTACTTAATTTTGAAGTGACTTACTTCTATACATTAACCTATCCATCTTTATTAACCCATCTAAATTGAATTCAAATTACTTCTTGTAAATGAGTTCACTCGATTTTGAGCCTATTATTGCTGTAAAAGAGAATTTACCAATTGCTACAGTTTTATAATTGTGCTATAGACAAGCAAATTAGTTAGCAGTGATTGAGAAAGTCAGCGCTTGCTTAATAGTGTTTAAATGCAGTCGTTCTGAATCTAGGCCTCACTCTGATGTGAGAAATGTTGAAATGTCAAATGATGGTTGCAGGGTCACAAGTCCATTTGGAGGAAGAATCAATAGCTAATTAATGTCTCTGAATTCTTAGTTCTCTCTAAATTGCATGGGGCTTGAATTGGCTAGAGGCTATAGCTTAGCGCTAAGGATTCAGTATGCAACACTGGAATACCAGAAAGTAATGTTTTTATAATATTTTTAGTGATGATTTTATTACTTAATGCTTTCTGAAATAAATCCTTAAGGCAATAAAAATAAGACTTACAGGGACTTACAAATTAGCATGGCTCTAAACAAGTCATGTTTATAATTTAAAAATTTTACCTCAAGCTCAGCTTTTAATATTTTACCTAAAATATTAAAAAGTAATCTAAAGTTGGGGCTCAGTGTATTAAATAACTGAATTAATTCTCAATTTTTAAAAAAGCATATGTGATGGCAGAGATTAAAAGAAAATCATTAACGACACTTCTATTAACTGATTTAAAAACTTTACATAAAAATGTCATACTTCCTTCAGTATTTTAAACTTTATTTTTGATAGAAAAAGTTTACATCCTATGTTCATGGAAAATGCAAATAATAAGGTAATCTCTTAAAGAGATACTGTGTTCTTATTTTGTGAATAATAATATTCCTAGGAATTCTTATTTGCCCTCAAAAGTAGAAGCATATTTACCGCTATCTCGCACCTTTTAAGAAAAATTTAAATATTGAGCACAACGCATATAGTTTTTAAAAATTTCTAAAGCAGCAGTACTAGAGGACTGTCACCCTGATTTTCATCAATTACATTAACTATTTTTGTGCTGACATAAATGATACCTCCCAGAGAAAGCATCAGGTTGTAGAGGGTGAGACCCAAACGAAACAATGCAAAGCTTGAATACTACTTTAATTTTCTTTTTCTCTTCTGAAGACATGAAATAACCTGGTTTCTGCTGGGACAGAGTAACGGAAATGGACAAAAATCTCTTGTCAGAGAGGCATCCCACTAGCCACTGCGCAATGACTGAACAAGAAAGGCCGTTCTCTGGGGCATATATGTCAGTGTGCCTACAGTGGCAAGTGCTGAATACAAGTTGCAACAATGAGAGACTGCAGTGGGCCAAGTGTAAACAGTGAGGGGTCATATCCACAGGAGGACGGTGGCAGAAATATCACAGCATCATCCACAGACCTCCCCCCGTTTTCTGTAGACTATTCTGAGTGGATAAGAATTGCCATATATTTTCCTGGGCAATTTCCAGGCCATTCTAGCTTTGTCCATCTGAAGAAAGGAAAAGCTGTTACCTAAATTGGAGGCAATTCTCCACAAGTGCTCTTAGGTGTAGATGTGCCAGATTTTCCCGTTGCTTTAAAGATCGGGTTAGAGATGCAACTGTCTTAACAAGAATTGTTTCATAAAGTGGTTACCTGGTTAAACAAAACTTTTTGAGCAATTATGAGAGAGGAATGTGTTTGGTCATCTTGTTAAGGTAGGAACTGTATACTGTATACAGTACCTGATGCATGAAAGTACGTTAGCCCACTGATCAGTAAAGTGGTGGTGGGGCCGGGGGAGGGGTCAGTAAAAGGGTGAGGGACACACACAGAATCCTCCCAGCAGAGGGCGTGCCTCCCTAGGTAGTAGGGAGGCTCCAGGTCTTAAGCATGGGCTCTTCAAACGGCAAATGCAAAGCCTTGTTTTGGACAATAATAATTATACTAGAGTGTTTTTCTAAGCATGAATTTAATAAAAATAAACTGCTATATCTTTCAAATAAACAACTTCAGAATTTGATGTATTCATTCCATGAGTTCCTCACAACAAGCTGTGCACTAGATCACCTGACAATATTGATGAAAGACATTTTTATTTAAAAAGGTTGTGTCTTACTACTTATTTTCATAACTCATGGCATCTGTAATTAAAATGTGGTAATAGTAAAAAGTGAAACAATAACACTGGGTTCCCCAGAGACAAAATGTTGTTATGACAAATTATAATATATTTTATTAATGCAGTTCTAGCTACTTTTCTCTAGCATAATGCTTGAAATGTGACACCCACAATAAAATGAATAACTCAGTTACTCTGCTTTCCAACTTTCAGTGATTTACTAACAGGTTGGCTTGCAATAAAAGGCCTCTGTATAACTTGAGAAACCCAGATCTACCGATTTTATCAAATTTCGAAACCAATATTTAAAACTATTTTAACAAGTCAGGGTCAGGTGACAGAAATTAAATAAATGGACTATATATACTTTGAGTGATGTATGTATTTAGTTTCCCAGTAAGGCTTAGGAGAAATATAGGTAAACTAAAAAAATTTGAAAGATCAATTTTTATCTAGCTCAAAAGTTGTCACCAGTTTTATTTAGATTATAAAGTCAATCATTATATTGTACTTACTAAATGCTATTTTGCTGACACTAAAATGTTTCTTGAAATCTAGTTTCAAGAAGATTGACCAAATAATTTTTAGGATGTACAGCTCTGAGGCAATGCCACACTGCTCTGGGCACATGAACTCATATGTGCAACAGTGTCCGCTCAGGCCCAACGCGGAGGCTGGCACCAGTCAGGGCTGCATAACTGGTTAATGGTTAAATGAATGGACGAATGAATAATGGGGTGAGCTAATGAAAAAATCTGATGACAACTTCACAGGAGAGTTTTAAAAATTAGAAGAGCGAGAGAATGAGCACAATCTGTAGGAAGACTTACTTATTCCACGCTTGTCTAAGGTGTTTAGAGCTGTATACGGTGAAGCGTTCTGAAACAGAAAGAAAAATGATAAGTGATCATTGTTTCAAATGTATATATTGTTTAAAAAGTATGTTTAAAAAACTCAACTTTTCAAAAGATGGTGTTCAATTCAGCCACCTTATGCTAGCCATAGAGGGTCTTCACCCCGAAAATTGGAAGACCTTAATATTTTAAACAACAAATCATTGTTTTCTTTTGTCTAAAACGATTTGTTTCATAATCTGGTTTTGTAGTGATTATTTATTAGAATAACTAAGTTTTAATTGGGTTGAAAAAAGAAATGCAAATTCCAAATTTCCAAACTGAAAGTACATTTATAGGAGAATATTGATTAGTCAAGTGAGGCCTGCTGTTTTCTTTATGATCAATACAGTAACACTGGCTTTCTTTTCTTTCTTTTTCTCCTTTTTTTCTTTTTGGTTTCCTGACCAGGGATCAAACCCCATGACCTTGGCACACCAGGAGATGTACCAATCAACTGAGCAACCAGCCTGGGAAGCTGTCCTTTCTTAATCTATGATATTTACACTTGCTCAAAGACAAACTCTCAATGTCCTATAATGTAGGTTTATATTTATCATTGAATAACCTTTATTGTATTTTTAAAATAAAACATAATGCTTATTTTACCAAGTTAAACAACAAAGTAGCATAGAAGAGATATTGATAATCTTTCCTGTTCCCATTGTTCACTCCCGATGATACAGCAACTGTCAATGGCTTCTTGTGTCTCTTTCCACATTATTTCTTATGTGGAATCCATTCATATATACAAATATATACACTATTTTAATTTTTTAGATATATTATACAATAAACCTTCTCCAAAACTCTTTACGCATTTAATAATATATAGAAGATGATCCTTCAAATCAAGAAAATGATGTAACAAGTTTTTTTAAAACTCTATGAATATTACATAGGAGTACCTGAAATAATTTGATCATTCTCGAGCTGATGAAAATCTAGGTGGTTTCCTTTCTCCTTAAAAACAATGCCTTAGTAAATAGCCTTGCACATCTATCTCTGTACACTGATGCTTTCATCTCTTTTGGATGGATACCCCAAATAGTGGAACTGCTTGGCAAATTGTATGCATATTTTATGTTTAAATAGATATTCACAGGTTACTTTTCATTTTCCCACAAGCAATGAAAAAAAGTCTCTTTAATGGTATGCATCCTGGGATGTAAAAATGGTTCAACATATGGAAGTAAAAAATGTAATATATCACATTAATAGAAATAAAAATCACATGATCCTCTCAATGCAGAATAAAATTTGACAAAATTCAATATCTATCCATTCATGATAACTCTCAACAAATTGGATAAAGAAGGAAAGTCCACAATAAACAAATAGTCCTCAACACAATAAAGTCCATGTATGACAAGCTCACAGCTAAAGTTATACTTAATGGTGAAAGGTAGAAAGCTTTTCCTCTGAGATTGGGAAAAACAAGGGCGCTACTCTTACCCCTCCAAGACATAGTACTGGAAGTGTGAGCTCGAGAAATTTGGCAAGAAAACAAACAAACAAACAAACAAACAGCATCTAAAATGGAAAGAAAGAAGTAAAATTGTTTCTGTTTTCAGATGACATGATTTTATATACAGGAAATCTTAAAGACACCACCAAAAAAGTAAGAACTAATAAATTCAGTACAGTTGCAGGACCCAAAATCAATATACAAAAATCAGTTGCATTTCCATATACTGACAACTTAACCAAGAAAGAAATAAAGAAAACAACCCATTTTTAATAGAAAAAAAAAAAAATACCTCAGAATAAATTTAACCATGGAGGTGAAAGATCTGTACAGTGAAATATATAAGACAGTAATGAAAGAAACTTAAGAAGATACAAATAAATGGAAAGATTTTCCATGCTCATAATTGAAAAAAATTAATATTGGTAAAGTGTTCATATTACCAAAAGTCACTTATAGATTTAATGCAATCCCTATCAAGATTCCAGTGGCTTGTTGTTTGTTTGCTTTTTACAGAAACAAAAAAACAAAAATCTTAAAATTTGTATGGAATCAGAAAAGACCCTCAATAGTCAAAGCAATCTTGAGAAAGAAGATCAAAGCTGGAGGTATTATACTTCCTGGTTTCAAATTGTATTACAAAGCTATAGCAATCAAAATGGTATGGTATTAGACACACAGACTAATGAAACAGAATAGAGAGCCCAGAAATAAATTCATGCAGATTAAAGTCACTAATATTTGACAAGAAGCCAAAGTACTCTTTTCAGTCTCTTCAATAAACGGTGCTGGGGAAACTGGATATTCACGGGCAAAAAATTAAAAAATAGACCTGGACACCTATCTTACATTGCCTATAAAAATTAACTCAAAACAAAAGCTAAAGAGTGAAATGTAAGACCTGAAATCATAGTAAAAAACAGGGAATCTTGGCAATGATAATATGGATATGATATACAAAGTACAAGCAACAAAAGCAAAATAAACAAATGGGTCTACAACAAACTAAAAGCTTCTGTACAACAAAAGAAACAATCAACAAAATAAAAGGCAACCTAAAAGGAGAAAGGGAGAAAATATTTGCAAACTTCATACCTGATAAGAGGTTAATCTCAAAATATATAAGAAACTCATATAACTCAATAGCAAACAAATCCCCAAGCAATCCAATTTTAAAAACAGGCAAAGTATCTGAACATTTTTTTCCACGGAAGATATTCAAATAGACAACAAGTACACGAAAAGTGCTCAACATCACTAATCATCATGGAAACGTACACCAAAACCATAATGAGATATCACCTTACTCCTGTTCAAATGATTATTATCAAGGAGACAAAAGATAAGTTCTGACTAGAATGTGGAGTAAACGGAACGCTTGTACACCCTTGGAGGGAATATAGATTAGTTTAGCCACTATGGAAAATGGTGTGGAAGGTCCTTAAAAAAAGTTAAAAATAGCCCTGGCCGGTGTGGCTCAGTAGATTGAGCTCTGGCTTGCGAACTCAAAGGCCGCTGGTTCAATTCCCAGTCAGGGCACATGGCTGGGTTGCAAGCCAGGTGCCAGGTCCCCGGTTGGGGGCGTGCAAGAAGCAACTGATAGATCTATCTCTTGCATAGCGATGTTTCTCTCCCTCTCTTTCTCCTTTTCTTTCCTCCTCTCTAGAAATCAATGAATAAAATCTTTAAAAAATTAAAAATAGAACAACCATATAATCCACTTGTGGGTATATATCTGAAGGAAACAAAATCACTATCCTGAAGAGATTTCTGCATTCCTATGTTCATTGCAGCATTATTTATAATAGCCAAGATATGGAAACAACCTAGGAGCCCACTGATAGATGCATAGATAAAGCAAACGTGGTGTATATATAAAATGGAATATTATTCAGCCACAAAAAAAAGAAAACCCTCCTATTTGCAACAACATAGATGGGCCCTGAGGGCATTATGCCAAGTGATGTCAGTCAGACAGAGGAAGATAAATATGGTATGTGATCTCACTTGCAAGTGAAATCTAAAACAAACAAAACAAAACTAATAACAGAAGCAGAGAACAGATTGATCGTTGCTTGGGGGTGAGTGGGTGAGTGGGAGGGATAGGTGAAAGTAGTCAAAGGATACAAACTTCCAGTTATAACATCAGTAAGTTCTGGAGATGTAATGTACAGTGTGCTGACTGTAGTTAACAGTGCCGCATGGTATATTTGAAAGTTGCTAAGAGATTTTAAAAGTTGCCACCACAACAAAAACAAAAAACAAAAAGAAAGGAAACTATGTAAAATGATGGGTGTGTTAACTGAACTTATTGTGGTTAATCATTTTGTAATATATACATATATAAAATCACTATGTTGTGCACCTTAAACTTACACAATGTTATATGCCAATCATATCTCAATAAAGCTGGGAAAAAAAACATAGCGTTCTAACAAAGTAAAACAAAGAGACATGTAAAGCAACCACTGTGGATGACAAGGAAAGGGGAATTTCAAACAAAAGAGATGACAACAAAATAAAGTTCCCATTGGAAACCTGGTGGGAGTTTCATTAAAATACATTTGTATCTGAAAAGGATAACATAAAATTTTTACTCATAACACTATAGTGTGTTTTTCCATTTAGACAGGATTTGTGTGCACATCCTCCAGTAAAATTAAATGGTTTCTTTTTTCATAGTGACCTCGGGTTTTTTTTTTTGTTGTTGTTGTTTTTAGATATTTTTTATTTATTTCTTAGAAAGAGGGGAAGGGAGGGAGAGAAACATCAATGTGTAATTGCCTCTCGGGCGCCCTCCGCTGAGGACAGGCATGTGCCCTGACTAGGAATTGAACTGGTGACCCTTTGCTTTGCAGGCTGGCACTCAATCCACTGAGCCACACCAGCCAGGGCATTTTTTTAAAGATTTTATTCATTTATTGACCTCATTTTTAAAAAATAATTTATCATTTGATAGGCTTGATATTTATTGGTGCTGTTTGTCAGTGTTGTCTGCTTTTAATTATAAGCTTTTGAAGGAGAGACTAAAAATTATATATTGTTTTTGTTACAATATGATTCATGAAGGATACCATTAGACAAGAGGAACAAAAAATTTAAGAATATACTCAGCTTCCTATCTCTAAACACAGAGTTTATTCAAAGGAATCACTGGAAATACTGTGCACCGATTCATTCATTCCATTACTGTTTATTGAGCCACTACTGTGCTTTCGGTATGCTTCTCGGGGCTGCAAATAGAGAAGGGCACCAGACAGAACACCTTCCTGCCTGCGTTCCGGCAGGGACTGCGGCTGGCTGGCACGGGCCTGCAGGCGGCGGCTGGGCGCAGGGAGCTCAGGAAGGACAAGTGGCAGCTGAGACAGAGACGGGCAGGAGACCAGCCCGCATAGGGCATTTGTGGCCTTTCAATATGATCAAGACTGTTTTTTAAGGATCACTCTGGCTTCTGTTTGAAGAATAAACTACCGGAGGCAAGGCTGGAAGCAGGAAGACCAATGAAAGGTTATTACGAC